GCAGTTAGCTATATCCATAATCCATCCATGTAAAATGTTTGAACTGATGTAAATAAAGCATTGGATGCATACCGGAGACACCGACGTCGTAGCCGAACATAAGGCCGCCGGTGGCGGCCATGATGCACGAGATGATGACGATGGGAGTTATTTTCGCTTCAAACTCCTTCTCGCCATCCCTCGCCGGAGTTGAAAATCCTGCCGCCGGCATGCTGCTCTGAATTTCCGATGATCCTTTTTTAATTAGCACGTGCCCTCACCTATAAAACGTACCTATAGCCAAATTAAAACTTTGTTTATCCTAATGCACCATGGGGGGTTATATAGCAGGTAGGGACTAACCGGCTATAGTAAAGTCAAGACCGGGAATATGGTCAAACTTTAACTGACCAAAACCGATACTATTCAAATTCGATCGTCTAACCGTAAACGTGACACTTCAATATGATTTCAGATTTCATCTAAAAATTATCTGAATCTCGAGGTTTAACCGGTAAAAAAAGTCAACTTCTCGCACACAATTATATTTATAATTAAAATTAGAATTAGTTGCATTGCATGCATGCATGTTTAAAAACTATGTAAGAATTTTTTTTGCAAATAACTTTATTTCATGTTAACCTATTGAAATAATAAAGTGTTATATTAATATCCTGAGGTATTATATTCTCTTAGGTTGACTTTTAGCATGCATGGCACGATTACGATTGAACGATTTTGCTGATTTGTGAAAAAAATAATCATGATGTGTGCCCTCAATGAAAATGACGACACCATTACAAAAGAATGACAATGATGAATTGATGAAAAAATGAATGACGACGTGATCAATTCGAAGTGTCTGGACGTGAGGAAGAGTACTGAACTTATACACCCATAATATAAATATGAAATAATAAAGTGTTATGTTAAGATTCAGAATTACTTCTCTTATAAAAAGAAGGGAAAACTGTCAATTTGGTCCTCATACTTTCATGATAAAGTCAATTAGGTCCTCATATTTTTAAAAAATTCAATCAAATCCCCGAACTTTGTACAAACTTTCAATTGAGTACATTTGCATGTTACTTGTCATGTCAGCGGTCACCCACTGACGTGACGCACACATGGCGATCCATTTGTGCGCCACGTCATCAACAAATGACTGAACGGGCTTCCACATGTATGCCACGTCAGCAAAAATTATTGCTAATTGGGCTGCTACATGTAAGCAACGTCAGCGAGTGACCTACTGACATGACAAGTAACTTGCAAATGGACTCAATTGAACGTTTTTACAAAGTTCGGTGACTTGATTGATCTTTTTTAAAGTACAAGGACCTAATTGTCTTTTCAGAAAAGTGCAAGGACCAAATTGACCGTTTTTCCTGAAAAGAATCCTGGATCAACACAAAGTGAACTATATTGATGAGTAAATTGTAACTATTGAATTCCATAAGTTAACTAAGTGCACATTTGGTAACCATGATTTTTGGCTTATCAGACTTATCAATCAATTTTTCAACAAAACACGTAATTTTTTATTTCGCGCACCGGATCTTGTAATAATAAGAAAAAGTAAGGTTGATGTTAATTTTCTAATTTTTTTTTCACAAATCAACAAAATCAGTCCATACAACCAAATCTTCATACATTTTAGCTAAATCAGCCCATACATCTACATATACCACAAATAGGTTCATTGACGAGTCTTACCTACAAAGTACAGACTTATTAGGGGGTTGCAAAATGTCGCTAAAAGTCGTGCATGGGACACCCATGATTTGACACGTGTAGAAATAGTTACTGGATGTTGATTCTAAATTTGGATTAGTACAAATTAAAGGATAATTGAAACGATGATGTCAGTCAATCCGTTTATAAATGTGTTCTTAATTGATGGCTTGATATTTCGCCATTCAAGTCAACTCAACCAACGTGTAATATTAGCTCTATCCGATTGTCACCCTTGACTGAAATGAGACACTGTACTGTATGCAAGTTTTACTCACTTGATAAATAGATGCCGTATACATACAGTTCGTATATCTAGTTAGTATCGTACAAATACTATTCCCTGTCCGCCACCGTCTCTTCTCCGTAACTTTATCAAGTTTAGGAAAAACAACGAAAAATAAAGTAAAACTTACATAGTACTCCATATATGATTGAAATTTGTGAACACGTACGACAGGAAAAAAAATACTCCCTCTTTATTTATATGTTCCATACATTTGCTTTTCACACAATATTTTAAGATAGAATAGTAAATGTAGTGAATATTGTAGAAAAAGTAAGAGAGAGTGTGTAAAAGTATGAAAGAGAAGATAAAAATTAGATAAATTAAGGGTAGTTGAGTATTTTATAAAGGATAAACTTACCAAAATTGGAAGTGTAGGAAACTTTTAAATACATTCCAAAAAGAAAAGTGCAGGGAACCTTTAAATACGGAGGAAGTGAATACGGAGAAACAAATTAGTTTATTAAAAACGAAGTGACTAAATTTATTGGACAACTAAAACGGGAAAATTACAAAATTATAACAAACAAAAGGAGTATACTTGCAAAACACGCACCTACAACACTTTCTCCGTTCTTTTTTAATTGCAATGATCCACTTTTCACCCTTGACAACACACAAGTTTGAGTCGTTTGACCTTTAATATCTTTAATTCCTTATTTGAAAATACGTTGTGTTTGTATACAGACAAAAAAGTCTACACAGACATGAGTGTGTAAGTGTTTGTATGAACAGTGTGTAAGAATAGCGTTTTTGATTAGTTTATAAATTTAAGTTTGTACAAAAGTTATTATAAATTACGAAAATGGATGTAGATGGAATATATTTTAATTAGTATTTAAATGAGGAGGTTTAGTGTCACTTCAAAAAAGAGTTATGTTTTTTAATCATTACAATAAAAAAGAGGAATGTATACAATTAAGGGATTAAATTGTAATAAAAAAAATTATACTTGCCCCCAAGTAAATAATTAAAAAGTGAAGTAATTGGAAAATAAGTTGGAGACTTGGGGCTAGTTCAAATTATTTTTATGAACACTCTCAATGTTGATTATTATCATAGAAACCCCAAAAGTATAAATTATTTATAGGAAAAAATAAAATAAATATCTCAATTTTTAATGGAGTGTGAGATAACATGCTTATGTAGAACTAGGCATGGACTCAGGCCGAGTGGCCCGGCCAGGGACCGGTCCGGGTAGGCCCGGCCCGGTGGTTTTACGGTGCGGGCTCGGATCACCCAATAGACGAACCGGCCGGGCCCGATTCAGGGCCTTTTTTTTTTTCTTTTCATTTTTTTTTTATTTTCTGGATTGGGCTGGGTGTTTTGGGCCATTTGGGGTGGTTTGGGGGGTGGGGGGTGGGGGGGGGGTCGGGGATTAATTAGAAAAGTAAAAAAAAAGGAAGTGGCCGGAGGCCCGGCCCGGCCAGGACCCGCCGGCCACCCGGGCCGGTTCCGGTTCACCCATTCTCAAATAAAAGCCTGGTCGGGCCCAGGCCTGAACCAGAACTAGCCCGGCCCGGGTCCACCCCTATGTAGAACCCGTTTGGAACATCAAAATTGACTGAATTAACTTATTATGCTAAAAGTGATGACGTTTTGGCTGAAGTGGCTGTGTTGGCTTATTCTGCTGATTTATGAAAAAATTGTATTTAAAATATTTGTTATTAATAAATAAAATAAAATATGAAAAAGTAACTAAAATGATTCTCTATAGTAACTTCAACCAGAAAAGTAACTCCAACCTTACTTTTTTAATAATTCAGTGCGCGAAATCAAAAGTTATGTTTTTTATTAAAAAAAACTAGCTGATAAGCCGAAAAAAGGGTCACCAAACGGGCACACAATATATATACCCCGGACTTTGTCTAAAAAGTTATCTTCCTATCATGATTGTGTTTTTTACGAATATAAATTTATTGGAAATAATTACATCCTAAGCTTTGTTAGGATGTAATTAGCATTCTAAAGTTTCATTTGTGAAATAAATAATATTACATCCGGTACAATTTATTTTCAATTGCATCCTCATAAATGTTTTTGTATTTTATATTATGCACTCAAAACCATAAATTACATTTGTGAAAAAAACATATGATCATGGTGCTAACGTAACTATTTATATAAAGTTTGGGGTAAAATATTACAAGTGCAAGTTTAGGCCTTTAGGGTATTTATCTTACACCTATTCATGGGTTTTTATATTAATTTTGTAAATTTTGATACACAATCGTCAACTTGAGTAATAGATTAATCGACCTCAGACTTGTTTTTCCTAATTAGTCGGCCATACTAAAAGACCCAATCCGGAGTGGTTTATTTTTATCTATTTTAATTGCGAATATAGGGCTAGGGGTGGACCGGTTCCAGTTCGGGCCCGGTTCAGGCCTGGGCCCGGCCGGGCCTCGGTTCAGAAAAATGAGGCCCGAGCCCGAACCGGTGGTGGGCGGTTCCGGGTCCGGGCCGGGCCACCCGGTTTTTTAATTTTTTTTTCTTCTTCTCTTATTTAACCCCCTACCCCTCCCTCTCCACCCCAAACCACCTCAAATGGCCCAAAATACCTAATCCAACCCAAAACTTAAAAAAATTTCCAAAAAAAAAAAAATTAAATTCCGGCCTAAACCGGGCCGGTTCACTAAACTGGAGGCCCGGGCCCGGACCGGTTCACCGGGCCGGTCCGGGCCCGCACAGTAGCGGGCCGGTCCGGGCCCGCACAGTAGCGGGCCGGTCCGGTTGGCCCAGCCCGAGTCCATCCCTATAGGGCCGATAGGCACATAAAGCATAGTTAATTAACCCGTTAACTGTGCAGGCGTAGCAAGCAAAAATCAGTTTGGCACCCAAAGTGTTCAAACTAGTTTCAACGTGTTTTATCAAACGTATTTACGTATCCAAAGTACTGGGATTTTGGAATTTTAATTGTTTGTATCCTATTTAGAATAATTTCCTGACTTTCAATCTTCATGCTCCAGATACAACGATTATATGAGGAATGAATAATAATGGAGCACTTGGCATGCAGAGTGAACAATAAATAAGCACATTTAATAAATAGATTGCTCGGAACATCGGTCCCTAAACTAAAACAAATGGTGTACTCATATCGAAACAACAAAATTTAGTTGACATTAATAGAAAATATTGGTGGCAGGACTTCAGAGTTCAGCAGGGTGAGTCTCTAAACATAAGGTGAACATGGAGTTTACTGTACAGCGTTCACATGTATAACCTATGTGAAGTCATGGCCGCCCTAAAATAGGAAACAAGATTTCTCACGCCCAAAAATTTGAGGGAGATGGGCGAAACCGGTCTAGCCGTCTAGGTGAAAATCGGTTGAGATAACTACAGTTTAAATGAGCCCATTGAGTAGTGGTTGCCCAACATCTTCATTCCCAGTCATCAGTCTCTTATTAGCTTGCCAACCTCTATCAAACAAAACAGAGACAGATTTAAACCTGAGAATCCCAAAGTCTGGGAAGGGTGCCACCAAGCCCATGCACTGAACCTTTGACCTTTCTTGGATTTGGACTGCGGCCATAGAACAAACTAACGCGTTCTTTTTTAATCCCCCCTTTTGACTTGACCCGGATTTTAAGAATGTGAAACTTGTGCGGATGAAATTTGTTTAGGGGAGACAAATAATAACAAACACAACCATTTCCTTAAAGGGAACGTGAAAATAATTTTGGGGTTGACCCAAGACAGATTAAAGAGACAGAGGTATTAGTTTATTACTTTATAATAATATTCAAAATCATGAAGTGCAGATATTGAGCAAGGCAGTGTCGAGACCTTACACTAGTGGGATGCAGCTCTACAGGGGCTGAATCTTCATTATCCTGCATCAGACTCTTTACGGTCAAGCCCAATAATTAGAGATAATAATTGCATAAGCTATGGTTTATTAGACAAGAGTTGCAATCAAATGTACCTCCAGTAGCAGATCTTTACGCGTAATCAAACCAACGACACGAGAAGCACGTGGAACAACAAGTATATGTCGTAGTCCCAATTGGCGAAACAGATTATAAACCTACACAAATCTTTCTGGGTTAATATCTTTGCCGTAATCTGATCTGCAGATGTAGTATGATAATAACTTGATAAAGATGGGGAAAAATGAAACTATAACATGTTAACACAAATCTCACCTTAGTTAAGGACATGTCCTCAGGAACAATGTATGGAGAAGGGTTTATAAAAGGAGCTAGGTCAATGAACATTCCCATATCATCCTGAGTGAGATGAATATCATCTATAGATAATCCTTTACTAGATATGGGTTTCACGAACTCACTGAGATTGTGCCTATTAAATGTGTATAATCAATCAACAAACTTTCAGATGATAGATTAATAAGCACTAGCCCAGTATAAAATTCAAAGATCACTTCTTACCTAATTGGTAAAGAACCATCTCCTACATTACAGGGCAAAGGGTTATGTTGAAAATCAACTTTCGATTGAAGAAGTACCAACAAATGACTGCATTATGAAAAAACACTATATAAATTGCAAGCAAAGAAAGCTAAAGCAAAGCAGCAAGCCAGCAATCATTAAAAATTATGTTAGCTTTATGTTAACCAAGAAAAATTGATTCCATAAACACAAAGCAAAACAGCAAACATGGTTAACTTGTACCTTCGTAGTATGAGTCCAATAACTAGTGTCTCCCCATTCCTAGTATGATCAATAACCTGGTAAACAAGCAAGAAAGAGTTATTCAAGACGCTAGAAGAACCCAATAAAAAAACCCAGCAAATTGCGTGTTTTTAATCATGCGCTTACAGGGAAGCCATTATGGTTATTACTCCGCAAGATCGAAACAATATCTTTCACCTCCACAATACGCGGAAAGTAGACAACCTATATAATACACGAACAAGACAAGTGAGCAAAATATAAGGACAGACTTCAGAAAAGGGTAACAAAAAGAACTATTAAGAATTTTCAGTCAATGAACAAAATATCTATCAGTTATCAAGTACAGGCTCAAAAGTTCCATTCATAGAAGTGATGACACATTCATACTATTGCAAATGCAATTTCATATGGTTAGATCCTGAGATTACCCAAAGGCACCCCAATACAATAGATCAAACAGGAAAGAGCTCCTAGCACAATCACTATCATAGCTTTTTGCTTTGTAAGAACTTAGCCAGAACTAGAAGCAGAATACAATATGCTTTATTTCATTCAATTGGCACCCATGAGTGACTTTCACCTTTTGATTCCTCGATGCCTCCTTTGCTGTCATGTAGCGCATTTGATGCTTTGGTCTCGACTCAAGTAATGGAATGCCTCTTAATCTAGCCTGTTCTTCATAAATTCCTTCATTGAAAGCATCACCAACAGCCTGCAGATTGTAACATTTTCCATCATTTGCAATGGAGCCAATTAGCCAAAGATTCATTATTTTTTGGCTTGAGAATATGATGGAATAAAGCAAAGTGACTCACTAAACTGTCTGCGCTTCTTTGTTATGAAGCAACAGTCAGTCCATGCAATTTTGGACACAATTTTCACTATAGGTCATCCGGAAACAGTCTCTGTGCTTTAGTACAGGGGTAAGACTGCACACATCCGACCCCCCCTTACCCCACCGTAGGTGGGAGCCTTTGCGGCACTGGGGTAAATGAAAATGAAAATGAAAATGATGAGCGATCTAAAATTTGGAAAAGAATATCAACATGAAGTAATATTCACACCTTTGAGATGAGAAGAACAAGCATGATGAGAGGCAAAAACTTCAAATTGTTTGAAATTTCGACCATTATGACACAAAGAGACACGGTCATCCGCATAGATCCTCCTAGAAAAGATGCTGCACCCAACAGAGCATACCTAAAGAAAATTGCCAGTAAAGGCAAACAAGTTAAGGAGTTCCTGAATCCTGATTATGATCATGTTGAGGCAAACCTATTCAGAAATTTAAGCACTTATGTCACAAATGGTTTCGATATCTCGGTTTAACCATGTTGTGTTACTCCCCCCCTTTAAAAAACAGTAGTCTATCCGTCCAAAGAAGAAAAATGCCAGACACGGGATCATCTTATTGATTAGAAGTGCAAAGGTGGGGTGCGAGGTAAAATAAGAAAGTAAAGGCTGTATAAGGCTTAGGATGTTTTTACTTGGACTGGATTCAGTCCTAGACCAAGTCACCAAACCAAATCAGAACAGACCAGATAAAACCAGACTAGACCAAAAAATTTCAGTCCAATTAAAAACATCCTTACTCCAAAACATGAATATGCAATTACAAACTATTGATTCGTTGGATACAGAACCAGCTATATTCTCTTCGCCCAAGTTACATAAGGAAAAACTACATTATATGTGGTTCGGCTTATTTTGTAGAGGTTGGGAACTTTTCCTATCTTCAGAACTAGTCTCTCTTTTTCTTTTATCTTTTATCTTCATTATCTTTTTATGTTCTTATGTTATTTTTATGTTCTATCTTTTTTATGCTTTTTTATCTTTTTATCTTTTACCTTTCTTATATTCTTATGTTATTGTTAACTTATATTTATCTTTATCTTATTCATTTTATCTCACTTTTCCCCCCTTATCTCTCTTCTCTTTTTAGCACTCATATCATGGATCGATTCATGTTAGCCGACCCCAAATTGTTTTGGGACTAAGGCTTGGATGTTGTTGTAATGGTATAGAAATGTTCTGCATCAATAAAAGCACTAACATAAACTTTCCTCAATTACTCAGTAATAAATTCTACACAAATTGAATAACTCAGATCATAATATGTCAACTCCCCTAAGATGAAAAAAGCATGGTTATCGTACAGCTGAACAAATGAAAAGTAGATAAGAAATGGACTTACGTTCCTTCTTCAATATCAAGTTTCCTGTAAAATCTAACAACAAACATGCCAACCAGACGCCCATAAGTTGAACCTATCATTATTCCAGGAACAAATTGACCAGCTGGAACAGCAGTACCAAAAGTCACCACTGCTAAGGTGTAAAACATCACCTAAGAAATATAACCATATCAACGGGAAGCTAATAGAGTGTTGCTAATAGAGTGTTGCTTGTAACTTTTCTCACAATGCACAAAAAAGTAAGCATCTCAGATTCTGGTACAGAATTTGCCATTTTTCAAAGACAGCAAATGTGACCAAACAGGAAAAATTATAAAATGACATTCAACTATCAGTCAGAAATGTCAATATCCTCATCAGTTTAATGGCTAAAAAATGAAGGTTGATATCTACAGAAATGAAGTACCAGAAGATGAAACAAGAGCAATACCAGATAAGTAAGAAGGCTTTGGGCACTGAATTCGTGGACTGTGTTTGCACTAAATAAGTTTCTTATAGCATCATCCTGCAAACATGGAGCAAATATAAAGAGAGCATAAGCTGAAAAGTTCTGATGGCAGGGTTAGTTACCACTCATTAGTGTATATGAGAAAAGAAAATATTATGGTGGAAATATGAGTAACCTGAGTGTTGAAGAATAACGTGGCAAGGTCATTATATTCCTTCTTGTTCTGACAATAGAACTGTGAATACAAATGACTAAAAGCATGAAAAACACTACGAATACAATATAATAAAATACCCAAATACTACCTCCGTCCCATTTTATGTGTCTCACTTTGACTTGGCACGATTATTAATAAAATGGTTGAAAAAGTAAAAGTTGTGGTTGAAGTTTGAGTATAATAAAGTGAAATGGTATGGGCCACATATTTCTTTCCAAAAAAGGAAAGGAGACACTTATTTTGGGAAAACCCAAAAAGGAAAGTAGGACAGGTAAAATGGGACGGAGGGAGTAGCATTCAACAAGATGAGTGACCAATACAAAATAACAATAAGCAAGATCTAAGCTACAACGGAGCAGACATATATTCCAAAATGTGGAAGAGTGCTACTTACAGCTTACATATATCAAACATGTGACTATCAATAAACATGATATAATGCTAGAACATCAGAGATGCTAATGCATGCAGCATGCCACATTGTCAGCACACGAACCAAGAGTAACAGCACAAATCATTTGCTAGATTCTACGCAAATACAAAAACATAATTTGATGAAACAGTGTTGCATAGGATCCTACATTTACATAATTTCCATACATTCCCGGCGCACGTGGACATTCAATACTTGCATTGGCATCAAAATCGGGACAGGGAGTGCATCTTTTAAACAATGGCAGTCCAAATGAAACAACTGAAGTTATCACAGAGATGATACAGACTTCAATAATCTGCATGGTAAATAAATTAAAAGCATCCAAACAAGAAGTTTAGTCAATACCATAAATACATGAAATTAAACACCAAAACACAAGAACCTGAAATCGTGGAGGTCAATACAATGATCGAGAACTTACTTTTACACGAGTCCCTTTTTTGTGCAAATTGTTCCGACGCCATTGAGTTATAAATAGAGTAAGTTGATTGAATAATGCTCCTGGAAAGCCATGTGCACACTAAATAAATCTTGCAAGTACATTTCTTTCAAACCTCAATACACATCAGAGTAATACTTAATGACGGGAAGTATGGAGTATAGTTTAGTACCTAGAAGGCCCCCAATAATACCAATAATGGCCATGGGAAGCAATTCCTCAACAGAATAGTCATCTTGACCTCTAAGGAAATGCAAGTCAACATAAGAAATAATTGATTTTAATAAAGTTACTATAGAAGATGAAAACAAAGTTGAACTCCTGACCCAGAAATGTCCCAGATAATAAAGCCTCCAGAGCCAAAATGACCACACTTTCCACTCTTGCACCAACCCATTGCTGAACGAACAACAACAGCAACAACAGCAGAGGTAAAGAAGACACGCCACATCAATTGACTCCTCCACCTACAAAAAAAAATTGCAAGAATCTGATGGAGGTAAATGAAGTAATGAACAAATCATCAAGAGCTTAACTGCATTTTAAATACAGAATAGATAAGCCACCAGCAGAATAATGAGCACAGTAAAACAAAGTTGACTTTCATAAGAAATGAATTTATTCACAAAATCTTGAATAAATATTTTGATAATTTTTTCTCAGACTTCTTATGATTCCCTATCAGTAAATACTAGTCTAGTTAGACTTGACACAATGCACAACTCTGTAGGTTATAAATGTGTGTATGTGCACTTGTGTGGGCGTGTGTACACACACACACATAGAGAGAGAGAAATGAACTCATCAGGCCCACTTAACATGAATCTCGCCAGATGAACTTTCACTTTTTGACAAAAATGAAGTCAATCATATAAATATCTTTGTTCATTAGAATAGCAACTATTAGGTATAACCGTTAGATACTTAGATCATAAAAAATTCAATTTTACCAAGCCTAATTCAACGTTTATAATGAATCAATCTTAGCTGTTACAAAATTATTTGAGGGGAAAATGTGAGTTTGTAAGGATCAACCTTCAAACAAATTTAAGATCTAATAGTTGAAACTAATACTACCTCCGTTCTCTTTTAATTGCAACATTGGACTTTTTGCACTATTCACATATTCTACTTTGACTATATTTTATTTATTAATGCATTATAAATTAATTTTTTTTAAAAATATTGTTAAATTCTTCTCACTCTAAATTTTCAAAATATGAAGTTTTTAAATTTTTTACTAATAAGAAGTAAAATATACTAATGGTCAAACTTGTGCGGTGGCAAACATGAAACGTTGACTGTTGCAATTAAAAAGGAACGGAAGAAGTAGTTATTAGTTAATACTAATGACTAAAAAATTAGATCATTGATTTCATATTTTGGCCTAACATGAAGTTGACCTGCCAGGAATCTGATGAGATCATTTATCTCTCTCTCTCTATATATATATATACATATAGTAGAAAAATAAAAGACATATAGATATAGAGAGGAGAAACAGAGTAAAAACTGATTCAGCTTGTTAAAAATGTTTCAGGAAAAAAAAATGGATACACATGACCAAGAAGACATGATACAAATTGAGAAATACCAAGATGTGACTTCTTCAAGTGCAAAGAGCACACCACCAACTGGAGCTCTAAAGGCTGCAGCAACTCCTGCCGCGCATCCACAAGTTACCTTCTCAAAAAAGTTAACAATTAAAAGAATGAGCAGTTGAGCACAACATAGAGGCAGATGACTCTATCAAGAAAAGAGCACTGATTACTTGCTCTTCATGATTAGAATAAATCTATTGGCAGTGCTAAAAACTTTGAGCAACTACAAACATATAGTACCAATAGAAACACTACTCGCAGAGTTGCAGTCTGACAATTGACTGGAGAACTTATAAATTTTACATTGCAACCACCAAGAATCGAACAAAATAGCCGCCAACTGTTGTAACACGTGAACTGGATAGTCTTCCCTTCACATTTTGGAGTACTAAGACCTCGTAATTCCAAACTTAGCATCATACTCATTGTTTCACCTAGTATTGAGAAGTGAGATATTATGTGTGTTATCCAACCAGGCCACCACCAAATGTCAAGCTTCTATTTAAAGAGGGAGCACTCTTATGTGATCCAGAATGATACAAGAGACTTATAGTGAAGTGAATTATCTCAAGATCTGCACCAGATATTTCTTTTCTAGTGAGATTGTGTTGAGCCATTTCTTAGATTGGTCGTATGATGGTCATTTGGATGTTGTCATCTGTTGGAAAACAAACTACTACTTAAATTGATAAAATTTTAAGTTCTTAAGTGTTAACTAATGGCTTCACACTGAAGACTTGATTATACTGCTTATATGGAAAATAGTGGACCCTAAATGTGCTTGACCTTAGGGGTTTATAAACCCCATGTGTTCTTTTTTTTGGATGAAAAACCCTATGTGTTCTATTACTATAACTAGTAGGTCATCCGTGCGGTGCAAGGTGTGTGATTTATTCTAATAAAATCCAGGCAATTTGAATAGAAGATCGACTTGTATGCATGTTCCCCATTCAAAATTGTATTTCCATATTGTTACACACGTACTACGACCCTATTGTTATATACTTATATATACTTTCAAAAGGATAAGGTTGAACACCAGTGCCTAGGCAGCCTAGCTATGTGAAACACGACATTAAGAGAACATGGTTCTACTTTGTTTTTGTGGACTATAAAGAGTTGAATGCTAAGAATGTGAAGGATAAATTTCCCGTCCGGGTGATTAATGAACTTCATGGAACATGCTTTTCACAATACTGGACCTCCACTCCGGATATGATTCGATTTGTATGGCATCCAAGGACGCCGAAAAAACACCTTCGGCGTGCACCATGAGCAGTTGGAATTTTTTGTTATGCTTTTCGGGTTCTGTAACATCCATCCACCTTTCAAAGGCTCGTGAATTAAAAATAGTCTGTCTAAGTGTAGTTTTAGGCAGAAAAATCAATTATTTTGGAGATGTAGTTCACACGCATGGGGTAGAAGTTGACAAAGCGGTATTTCGGGCCATCTAGCAATGGCTGCAACCAGGGTCTCTCACCGCCCTTTGCATCCTTCTTGGTTTGGCGGGGTACTATATAAAATTCGGAAGTTTATTCAGAGCTGTGGTAATATTGTCAACCACTCAATTAGCTATTGAAAAAGAACTCTTTTCACTGAATAAAGGAGGCCAGTGTAACATGCGCCCTTTTAAAGACCTGTCTCAGCTACAACAATCACCCACCTTCCTAATTTTACCATCCAGTTTGTGGTCAAATGCATCAGGCAGTGGGGTTGGAACAGCGCTACAACAAGAGGGGCATCTAATTGAATATACAGTAGGAAGATGCCCAGGCACAGGAAATTGACAGCATATGAACGTGAACTCATTAGGCTCCGTAAGGTAGTGATGAACACGCCCTTATTTCTTCGGCCGGAAAATTCCTACCCCGAGCTGACAAGTGACAACTCTAATGATCTAATCTCAACCAACTTCTGGATCAGCAGCTCGCAACCTTGCCTAAACAAATTTGGCTCAACAAGAAGATAAATTTCAACTTCTGGGTGGAATACAAGCCTAGCTGGCTCAACACGATCGATGGCAACCCCCATCATCCCTGATTCCTCACATAACCTTACTAGATGACGTCCAAAAGCAGAGCAGGTAATAGAGATTTAGGACCTTCTCAGACAATTGGAACCAGGCTTGGTGATAGCAGATTGGGAGTATCAGTAAGGGCTTATTCAGCATCTATTTGTTTTCTTAGTTCTTAGGAAATAGGAATATGTGTATATTCTACTCTGTATTAAAGAGAATGTTTTGTGGGACTTGGTTCATTTGTGGCCATTGTGATTATCATATACGTAGTATATTGTAAAATTGTATTGTCAACGACAAAAGGCATATGGCACAAAACTCGTTAGGGTTTAAAACTGAAGAAGAGTATTAACTAAGATATCCATTACTTACAAGATCGCGACGATCCCTTTCGCTGTTAAAAACTTGTAGCCACCGTGAACTCAAATGATACTTTGCTGATCCACCCTGAATTCAGGCGAGTAACGTGTATTAAATTAAATGAACTATACTCCATCAGCATGTTCTTCTCTTCATTCAATTGATTTCTTCGCAATGTCCACTTCAGATTGATGAACCATTTCAAGTTATTATAATTAACTGTGAAGGCATAAAATGCAGCCTGGCTCATTCATCCTTTCCTAAGCAAAAATGTCTTTTATTCAACTCATAAAGGTGGGATTTGCAGCCAAATCATTAAATGAATGTGAAGAGTCCCATTTCTCAAAATATATTATCACTTTCAGGCGTTTGGAATACATACTTGTCCAAGCAATGAAGCAATACAGGCACCGGTATGTACAAGAGGACCTTCTTTACCAAGGGCTAGACCACCCCCAACTGAACCTATGCTTCCAAAAATCTAGAAAATGGCACACGTAATATTAAATGAGGCGTTCTAGTAGCGCCAAATTGTAAAAAAAAAACACAAATTGAAACAAATACAGGGCCCCACACCTTTCCAATTAAAGTTCTGAAAAGCAGGATTCCGTGTGTGTCAATTCCTACAGAGGCAAACCAATAAAATAGAAATTACAGGGTCAACAATGGAACAAATACTGATGCAAAGAGAAATAACCAATCATAGCCCACCATTTAAATAACCCTTGATTTCTGGAATTCCTGATCCTGCTGCTGCTGGAGCAAAATGTGTAACAATAAATACAGAAGAGAGCACTAGAGCCACATTGATCAAAGTATACACAAGAAATCCAGCAAAGTAAGACTTCTGGATTATTTGAAAAGTTAATGAGTATTTCCATCCTGCAAAGTTTTCAACAGATATATTGATGAAAACAGCTGCAAGTCCTGTTCCTGGAAAAGTTAGAATATATATAGAAGCGTTAGTAAGTGGTTATGTGAGATGAAAACTCCAGAGCACACAACTAAACATATAAGAAGTATTTAACTCCATAAGTAAGGAACCAAGGAAAATGAGGGTAAGCTTAATTTATAAATTGAATCATAACCAACAAAACATAGCCTATACCACTCCAAAATAAATCAACAAAAAAAATAGCAGTACACATGAGTTTCAAGATAAATTATGAAAATAATGTTGATTTTGCAACGGAAGATGACTTTAGAAACTATCTCAACTCATTGTGAACGAGGTCAACGTTCAAAAGCCTCACTAGTCACTAGTCTTGCATGTCTCAGTTTTAATCCCATGCCAACTCATTGTGAACGAGGTCAACGTCCAAAAGCCTCATGTGAACACATTCTTTTCCTTTCTACTTCTCAAGTTATATGGTTTCTTCTTCTTCTTGTGCTTCTTGCTTTTCTTCTTCAACACTCCATGACTCCACTAATTCGTAAAGGGATGCTTTCTTCTTGACCGTGTTGGATGTCATCACAAACGTAATTGGTTTTCTCTTACTTTATCTTCAATAGTCGCTACATACACTCTTCGAAAATCTCCTCATTGAAGATTCTAATCTTACCACACATCCGTCTTAACATAGACATCTCTACCAGACCGCCACACACATCTTCATGGCCCAACATATTGATCTGTATAATAAAACTGGCATTAGATCAGTCTTATTATTATTATTTTATTATTATTTTACTATTATGTAAGAGCATATCTTTCAGCTCCATATCGCTTCTAAATAATAAGAAGTTATTGAAAAGAAGAAGAAACAAAATAGCAAATTAATGAACAGGTTGCTCCTGAAATGGATGGTAAAATGTTTTAAGATGAGGACATCAAAACAAAAAAAGGGAGAGGCTTTGTAAATGGACATGAAAGAAGGTAAACATTGGCGAAATCGCTTCATCTAACTTGGAATTCACTAGTTTAGGAGTCAAAGGTTTGAAGGAATAAAGGGCTGCAGTAGAGGTTTCAAGGGAGTGTTGTCACTTTTTTAATGGTGTAAATAGTTTAACAACCATTTTATTACATTCTGCAAAACGAAACTTTGATATTTGCCTTCCACGCTGCTTTTTCATTATAGTGACGCTTCAGTTTCTGTTTTGTGCTTTCAAAGCAAGACAATGGTATATTTCAAGACAATGAAATTTCCATCATTTGCAATGGAGTCAAAGATTCACTATTTTTTGGCTTGGGAATATGATGGAATAAAGCAAAATGGCTCACTAAACTGCCGGCGCTTCTCTGTTATGAAGCAACAGTCAGTCCATGCAATCTTCAACGCGATTTTCACCATGGGTCATTCGGAAACAGTCACTTTGTGCTTTAGTACAGGGTAAGGCTGCGTACATCCAACCCCCCCTACCCCATCGTAGGTGGGAGCCTTTGCGGCACTGGGGTGATGATGATGATGATGTTTTTGTTTAAAAAAATTGGTTATGAATGTACAATATATCTAAAGTTGCCGACCCCGACCAAATTGGAATTAAGGTATTGACCATGATTAATATATTCTTAAGTATTTCTCAGGCTGTGCATTCCTTTCGATGATCATGAATAATATAATCTATAGTTCACTTTATTCAATTAGGTTGACTCTTCAAAAGGGAATACTAGTTCTTAGCTATGACCAATCCCTCATTGTATCCCCCCACACACATTTTATGCAAGTGTTGCTTTTGCGCTGATCACACTTTTTCTCTACAATAAGAATACTACAGAAACTCAAACCATTTGAAAGCTTAAGGCTTTCCACTCGTCTAATATTCTATGAAGGTATTTGTAACTTTAGTACTTTACCTAACCATAGGCCATATGTACAAAGTGAAACTTATGATAGTAGAAAAACTGCTTAGGCCCTTCTATTCCAAGGGTTTTGTGCCCATCCATTGGTTTCAGCAAAAAAGAAAAAGATTTCTTTTCAGCGCCTATTTGGAATTTCTTGAAAAGTGCATTCCTTTGGTAGATTGTCTTCAGCTCAAGTTCTACTTTCAGCATACACAAGCTCCGAAATAAGCCAGGTCAACCAGGCAATTGCTGCAAAAAAAAAATAGGGAAAGCTCCGCTCCATCAAACACCACCCAAACTCAAGCGAAGTTCAAGCTCTTTGCTAGTCATTCAGCTAGTCAGTTTCTCATAGGACATCTTCCGGTCATGTTGTGCTCATTCTTTTCACTTAATAGTATGGATCCTAACGGCTAATTTTAGTTATAACTTGTAAGTCCTAACCTTTGTCGCTGTTTACCTCTTCCTATATCCTTCATCCACTTCATCATAAAGTTCCCCAACACAAATGGCCAATTAGCTTCTCTCATAATTTCCACAAATGCTCCTTTCTTATATCTTCATCACTTTATCCAAGTGCTAAAGAATCATTCAGCTCCCAAGTCATAATAGGTTGATTGTTTTCCTCTCATTTTCGTTGCATTTAATTTTTAAAAATCAATATGCCCCCTAGCAAGCCTAAGTTATTTTTGTTGACAGGTTTTAGAATTACAAAATCACAACATATCTTATTAATGGCTTGTTAAAACTGCAGGCTCATATACCATTTTGTTATGTTCACAGGCTAGAGATCACGTCAACCGGCGGTTGCTGAAGAGCATGGAAGGATAGGGTTCTTCTATAATAGCAAGCGAACAGAAGAGAAGGGGACACGTGAAGGATAAACAAAGGGATAGGAAAGGGGTGAAGCTTCAGGAGTTTTGGAAACCTTTCCAAAATTATAATAAAAAAAAGTCTTGTTTATTATTCAAAGCATTCAAGTAAGGGTTACAAACACCAGTAGGGGAAGGGGGGATTACACGAAAATTGATTCTTAAATTAGACTAACCTAATTGAGAAAATCAATAAATATGTAAACCGGCCTATGAAGGAAAGGAATAAATGATAAATCAATTAAATGAAGGAAAGCAACAAGGCGGTAAATCAATCTTCTGTAAAAGAAATAAACCTTCTTCCATGATAAACTGCTCCATTAGCTACGGATTTGCCCCTAATGACGTGGCTTTTATAAGTCTTTCCAAAGAATGTACCACATCTGTTATGTTTTGAGCTCACTTGTGTAGCTCAAGCTCATTCTCAAGGTTCATGGAGTTAAGTTCATGCTCTAGCTCAACAGTTTGAACACAACTTGAGTCTAGCTATTGACCGTATAAACACGTTGCCATGGCTCAGGCAGCTCAGCTAGTTTACACTCCTAATGAAATGTATAAAGACTATGGAAATGATTTCAATTAGTAGAAGGGTTACAATCATAAACAATATACTTCCTCCTTAAAAAAATGTAAGATACATTTGGGTTTGACATGAGTTTTGAGATAATAACAGATAGTGTTCTTTTACAATTGTTACCTCTAAAAAATAAGATGTACTACGTGCGGACGTGCCCATAAAAAGTAAAAAGGAGAAATGATAAATAAATAAAATGGAAAGTAAAAAGTTAGTGAAGCTCAATTTAGGGAGTGTTCATATTTTTTGGTACAACCCAAAAAGTAAAGAGTCTCTTACAAAATTGGACAGAGGAGGTACTAAAAGACTTGCACAAAATGAAACTTTTGTGATTCAAAATTTCGTTCAATTTTTACTATTCCATCATTTGCAATGGAGCCAAAGTTTACCTATTTTTGGCTTGAGAATATGATGGAATAAAGCAAAATGGCTCTCGTAACTGTTTGCGCTTCTTTGTTATGAAGCAGTAGTCAGTTCATGCATTTTTCGCCGCAATTTTCACCATGGGTCATCCGGAAACAGTCTCCCTGTGCTTTAGTACAGGGGTAAGGCTGCGTACATCCGACCCCCCCTTACCCCACCGTAGGTGGGAGCCTTTGCGGCACTGGGGTAATGACGGTGAATGAATGAATGCTCTTCTTTTTACTGCACCTTACTACACTAGCTGCCAAAAAGCTGTGGTGGATTGATAACATGATGTAACATGGTAGTCCGTAGACAATAGTTGGTGATGATGATTCAATAAATAAACTTCTAAATTTTCCATGGAAAAAAGCATCATCATAACCTAGCCAAACATGTCATGTTAGTTGACCCCAAAATCTTTTGGGATTAAGGCTTGGATGTTGTTGTTGTTGTTGTAGTATAACCCAGCCAAACATCATAAAAGTTCCTAAAGAAGCAATTTCCCCGCATTGACTAGCGTAAAACATTTATGCGTGATTTGAATTTTGAACAATCGAGAAAGCAACAGCAAACATGAAAACTAATGATATTTAGATATGCAGCGAAGTACATAATATCACATCACACTTCAAAATCGTAAGGAGTTAGATCGGCAGGGCAGACGAAAAATCTCGACCATGGTGGGCTGAATCCCAGAGCAACCTAATACTCTTTAAGGAAAATATCATAGTTTCATTTAGCCATCCCCAAAATTTCCTTCTGTCCTGTCCAACCTCTATCACCTTACTCTGTACTAACCGTATCACCGAATTATTTTGTGTCTAAAATCCTAAAACTACTCCAATATAACCTTAAAGCTCCTCTAATTGAAATTCTAATTATTCTATCCAACTCTGTGTGCGACTATGCACATACAGAGTACTGACTACAGAAGCCTAATGGAGTGGTAGAGACATGTGAAATGAGCACAGTGCATAGGGCACACCAGACGGTTTCTCAATAGCAGACCTGCTTCAAATTTTCAGGTTTGGAATACAAATGGAATCTCCAAATCCGCTGCTACCAATTTATAATTCAACAGGTATGGCTTTTTATTAACTTTCATATTCACTTGATTCACTTAATTTTTATTGGCATCAGCATTTCAAGTATCTAAAATCCTAAATATTACAGTTCTAATTATGGTGATTATTAGTTAGTTGTTTTTGCAGTGTGCCAGTCTTTTGCTTTTTATTTGCTACTTTCGGCCTGCTTTACATCTCTATTACTCCGTAGTTTGTATTCGAGTTGTTTGTGTTTCCACCCTCCAATTTTGGATGTAATATGTTAATTGTTTGAGTATGGAATTGTATTTTTGTTGTTTTATTTTTCATATTATAATGGAAGATGGAAGAACCGCACTCTGCAAAAAGAAATGGAAAACTTGCTGAGTGCATTACAATTTATATTTAGAGACCTTGCTCTTAGTAATTTGTATACCAGCATACACACACAAAGTTTGTTTGGCATGTCTTGTTTGTGAGAGCAAATTAATTTGTTTTTTTGTGTGTGAGACACTGCAAGCTGGTGCATACAAGTTTGAATACATATAGCATAACCCAGAATTATATTACATTTTAACATCTAAACTTAGACCAACATGAATCCCTAGATTCTCCCCAAGTTAGAAGCAAGATACAATTTACCCACACCACGTTTCAGTTCTTTAATCTTCATAAGAGCAAGCAAGAGAAACTAATAACGGAGCTGAATCAGCTGACATTTGCAACAAATGAAATCAATGAAAGAAAATAAGTCACCACTTAATGCTGAGACAAAAATCAAAACGCAACCAAAAAACTGCACCTTAAAAAGTTAAATTATCAGGACTGACAGGACATGTACAAAAGATTCCTCACGAAAAGAAATTAAAATGTTAAGACGAAGTAAAAGGCTCTTCACTCACCTATGCCTGTGAGTAAAGCAAACAACCACTTCACCACAACTGAATATCCTACATAAAACTTCCCCTTCTTGGCCTGTCCAGAAATAATAATAAAAACTACAATGAGCCAAATAATTACACAAAAATCTCCAAAAAAAAAATCGATCAGGATTAAGCCAGTACAATCCTTGCCTGTTGTTCCCGATAAGCATAATTTTCAACGACTTCGTAATCGAGACTCTCCACAGAGCTATCATACATGTTCTTGGAGGGACCCGCCACGTCACCGTCGTCTTCATCCCCCGTCGGAAGCTTCGACCACATCACCTTCGCCGTCTGCATCCCGTTCTGCATATGATTCGACAACATCCCCTCCAAATTCACTTTAAAATAGTATACTAGCCTACTATGCTAAAAGGACGTGGATTTTGTAATCTCCTTGCGCTTTCCGGAGATAATTCGAAGTATTTCGGATCAACCCGGAATCTTGCTGCTAACACGTTTTCATCACTGTGAGCAAAAACAGAATGCGAGCATTTTGATCGGTAAAATAGGGTATTACTGATTTGAGGGAGAGAGGAGGTTGGTGGTTGCAGGACTCGTTTTGCTTCTTTGAGTTCTTTCAGCAAAAGCGACAGGCTACTGTCAAAGGAGTCAACAGGAAATAATGTAAAAGAGAATGTGAATCTGGTTTATCATCCAATGAAGGTGCTCTCAGGCGATCCGCACCTAAGTATAACCAAAATGCTAGGGTACCCGACTTAAGTCGGTGATGGGGTTTGAGAAAAAAAATGCTTATGAAAAATTGGATCATGATTCATGTTTGATAAAATAAATGATTTTGTGTAATAAAAAAAATCAAAAAGCAGTTTAAAACACTCTTTACTTCTTTTTAACCTTTAGTTTTAAGAAATAATTACATAAATATGACTAAAATAAAGATGGTTTACAAAAATATGATTCATTACTAGAGTAGTAATGAAATCATAGTAATTCATGTTCAAGTTTTGAACGAAATCATAGTAATTCATGTTCAAGTTTTGAACGAAATCATAGTAATTCATGTTCAAGTTTTGAACTTTAATTGCCACATCACTACAGTATAGTAATGAATAGTCATATGTATGTAAATAAGTTTTATTTTAATAATATTCTCGTAAAAACCCTAGTTTTAAAGTGCTTTTTAAAGTAAAAGTAGTTATTAACAAACATTTTTTTCAGTTTTTTTTAAGTTAAAAGCTGAAAAGTACTTATTTTAAGTGTTACCAAACACTCATTAACACAAGATGTACACTAAACCTCTAGTTGCCAAAAAGCGCGGGATATTATGTCAAAATGCTTGTATACACATTGAATGTACCATGTGTATACATATTTTGTGTACACTAAGAATGACCAAAAACTTAATAGAGTCCATTAATACCGTTTTTATTTTCATTCTAGTATTGTCAATGTTTTTTACATACCAATTTGGTGAAACATTAGTTAAACTAGAAAAATGGCAAACATAATATATTCTAATCAATTTGGTGAAACACACCAATAGGGTTTCAATAGACAAAAATATGACTAATCTAAAATCTGACAAAAAAGTGACATGTCTAACCCTCTCTCCCTCGTCTCTCTGTCGCCCATCAGGCTCCCCTCTCACCACTTCACAAAGTCAACCATCGCACAGCCATCGCCTCCAGGTCGCCGGCTCCACCTTTTGTTTGCTGCCTTGGCCGTCATCGCACGCTGCTTCCTCCACCAACACTACATCGCCACCCCCGTCGACATCCCACGTCGATGTCCATCACACTTTTTCTTTTTCTTATTTAATCTATGTCCGATCAATGAAGTGGTGACCAGATGGACGGGCATGGCAGAACGAGATTGTCGTATTCGTCCTCATTTCCAGATCTATGGTGAACTTCTTGGGGGATAGGGTTTAGATGCTTGGTTTTCAGATCCAGTCGGCGGCGGCGATTCCAAACCTAGGGTTTTACGCAACTGTGGTGTGGCTTGGTTTCGCCTAGGCAAAGGGGGCATGAAGGTGGTTTAGTGACAGGGGCGGAGACGGGTGTTGGGCACCAGGATGCCAATTGTGCAGAGCTGGGGGCGGGATGTGACAGGATTGGGGTCTAGTAGGCTTACTGTTACGACAGTTAGGGTTGTAAACGAATCGAATAATTTTGATTCGATTCGTGATTCGAATTCGAAAATGCCGATTCGAATTCGAGTAAGTAGAATACGGATACGAATACAAATCTATTTTTTATTCGAATACTTTACGAATACGAATACGAATACAAATACTATGATATTCGATTCGAATATATTCGAATTATATATATATTTATATATTTATATATTCATACAATATATACTACTTCTTATGAATACATATAGTTCAATGCAAAAATATTAATAACAAAATATTCATGTAAATATTTTGCATATTTTAATTTAAACATTGTTACTTTACCAGGTCAAAATAGCTTAATTTACAATTAAAATTCTCCGTTGATTTATCTATATTCATATTAAATTTGAAGTGACTTCTATAAATGAATTTTGTTTCCTATAAAATATGTAATATGATAATGAGTTAAAAGGGGCAAACTAACATCATAATTTTAATTATTTTCACAAAGTAACTTTATTGTTTTTTGAATTTGAATATTCGAATTCAATTTGAATATATCAAACGAATCGAATACGAATACAAAATAAGATTCGAATTTTAAACGAATACGAATATGAATATTCAATAATTATACGAATACGAATAATATTATCAAGTATTCAGTTCGATTCGATTCGTCTACAACCCTAACGACAGTGACAGTTACCGGTTGGGGTTTAGCCAACGGAGGTTAACGGTTGTGTGAGGTTGAGTGCGGGATGGGGAAGCAGTTGTGGACCGGCAGGGAAAATGTGATGAGAATGGGGGTTGGGGTGGCGGTTGGACGACCATGGAAGTGCCAATGTGTCGGAGTGTCACTATGGCGGTGTCACCGATGTTGAGAAGGGGGGATGGGGTGTTGGGGTGGGGTGGGCAGTGACTGGGGTGGCGACGATAGTCACCTGTCGGGGGGCGACAATTACTGGCTGGAGGGCGGAAGCAGTCAGTTGTCAGGGGCGGCGACAATCACCGGTCGGGGTGGTGGTGGTCACTGATCAGGGCAGCGACAATCGTTGGACGGGGCGGCAGCTGCAGTCACTAATCGGGGCGGCGATGACAATCATTGTATGCAGGGGGCGGATATATTATGGGGTGCGGGGGCAACTACCTCCACTCAACCTCCACCCAACCTTACATACACGCTCTCTCTCTCTCTCTCTCTGTCCCTTAAAACTTTGTTAACTTTCCTATTTTCGATGTCCCATTAACTTTGGCACTTTCACTTTTAAGTAAAGAATTTGTGGTTCCAGTTAATTTTCTCTCATGTACACAAACCTCAATCACACGGTTTTTACTTTACTAATCCACGTGCCGGTCAAACTTGACAAAGTTTTAAGGGACAGAGGTATAGTAGTATATATAAACTTGGTATAAAACTCCCCCCTAAATTAAGTGCATAATAATGGGATATCAATGTGAAATGAAAATGAAATCTCACCCGCCCAAGGAGTAAGTGCATCATTAAAGAATGAAAATATGGTAAGCTTAGACCATTTTTTAGACAGTAAATACTCTATATGCATCATTCCTGTAATAATTAACACACCTTATATATATTTCATAGATTTTTTTTGGAAAGAAACAAAACTAATTTGAAAGTTGTATACAAAGTACATGTGTGTCATATAATTCATATGTGTAGGTTAATAATTAATTGACCACATGTTATGGCAAGATGGAGGTGTCAACATCTTGTGTTGATCGTATATACAACATCGCACACTGTCAAATAAAGAAATTGACTAATAATATTGATAAGCCAAAAAATAGGATTTCCAAACGGACTCTTAAGATGTAAATAAATGTAACAACTAATGTTGATATTAATTAATAACAATACTAAAGAACTCAATATACAATTAGTCAGAATAGCCAGTTTTGAAATGTTTTGAAATGTAAAAATATATAGGACTGTCATTCTTTAATTCCCTGAGTATGATTATTGTCAAGCTTAAAAAATACTATCAATCTTTCAAGCCCATTTGATGACACTGAATTGGATGAATCTATTGAAATTGATGAAGTTTTGATTGAATTGGTTGAATGAGTTGAATATGTTGAATTATGGAAATTAATTATATTTAAAATGGTTTTCACTAATAAAATGAAGAAAAAGTTGCATGAAAATGGCTAAAATCGTCTTTTATAGTAACTTCAGGCCTTCAACCTATTAAGGTAGAAACATAGCTAGCTCCAACATTACTTATTTTAATTATTACACAATTCAACATGCAAAATAAAAAATTACGTGGTTGGTGAAAAGTTAGTTGATAAAGCTGATAATCAGAAAATATGGGTCATCGAACGGGCTCTTAAAATCTAATAATGTCAAAACGTGGCAGTAGTTTCTCCTATCTATGGAACACAAATATAACATTTTTTAAATAAAAATGTTTTTATTCCTATTGCGGATAATTTCTTTCACACACATCCATAAGGCTATTCCCTTTTTTAAAGAAAAAGAAGTCTTAATAAATTAAATAAGCTCATCATTAGCCAAAAGGCTAGAGATACGGTCAGGAATGGGCGTTAAACAAACTCTACAACCCGAACTCTCAATAGCCTCCATTACAATCGCATAGGCCGTCCGATTTGCGATTCGTCTCCCGTGAGAAATTTTATAATCACCTCTATCTTTTATCAAAAATCTAATATCATCTAAGACTACAACAAAATAAGAGAACCCCGACTCCCCCAAAATTCCGGCCACCGCCACCGTGGCATACTTCTCCACCTCTACTTTTGACCACCCTCTTTCTCTAGCCCACTTAATTGCTTCACGAACAACCACTGCTTCGGCTTCTCTCAGTTCCCAATTTGCCCACACTGCCTCCTTCCAAGCTGCAATAAAGCGGGCTGAGTCTTCCCTCGCGACCCACCCCCAAGCTCAAACTCCTTTAGATTGGTCTATTGCTGCATCGACGTTGATTGTTACCCAACCCACATCTGTTCTTCTCCAAGGATTAGACCTCTGTCTGCCGCTGCTAGGAGCTCCTCGTACCTGCTGTTGCGCTGTCATCCAGTTTTGGAACATAGCTGCTCCTCTTGCAACAATGCCTCTACAAGAGAAACTCTCCTCTTTCCATACAAGGTTATTCCTTGCTTTCCAAATGCTCCAAAAAGTCATAATCAAAGTCACTATGCTCTCCTCCTTCTGCTGCTCAAAAACAGCCTGCACCCAAGTCCTTATATTTGCTCCTCTAAACTATTCTAACTTATAAGTAATGTTTTTCTTTAATTTTTTTTGCTAAATAATTATGAAATTAAAAAACACATTTTGATTATAAAAAATAAATTTCATTAAATATTTTTCTTTTGCTTTTTTCCATTAATAAAAAATAAACGGATAAAAATAAATTTCATTAAATATTCTCTTCTAAACGTTCAATTAAATCATGTGTAAGCATCTCATGAGCAATATTATTAAATTCGTACCATTTGAGCGGATTCTCTTCTTCACTTGGTGCATATATCTATAGCGCATTATATTCTCATCTCCACTTGATGTGTCTATTCAAAACACATTGCCTTCTCTTCTTCACTAGATGTGTCCAT